ATGAGGCTACCTTTTTGCATCCCTTTCTGTGGCATTTACCTTCTTTTGAGGGCGACTTACCTTCTCTTGGAAGAGTCTGTGTTGCTGTGACAAATTTACAAAAGTAATGAATTCATAAAGATTATGTACTTACGAAGAACAGATTGTTAAGATTTCCTGATGACTCCATGTTCAGTGCAGGGAGGGAGTGTCAGATGAAGAAGTCGTGCAAGCGCTAGTTTTAGTAGTAGAAACTGGATGGAATGACACTGGAGTCCTTCACTACTTAGGGTCAGTTTTTCCAGCAGGTCAAATATTTGGAGTTGGCTATTCTCTTTTTCTCCCTACCTTCTTCTGGCCATTTAACTTCTAATTCAGACCTTCACCTGGGAAGTGAGAGAGGAAAGTGATTCACTGCTCACGGTCATAACTCTGGTTAAAAAGTTTTACAAAATGAAATACATGCCCAACACAAGAGGTTTAGAATCTTCTGGCAGACCACAGTGTTAACAACTAAGAGCCACTGGAAATGCTTAACAGGTTTCCTACAGGTGGAGTCCCTTGTGTAGATGGAAAAACTATCACTGGGCACATTGCCTTCTATTAGAGGACTGAGCTATGGAATCCAGGAAGATGTCGCTTCACATCCCGTTGTTAGATTCTGAGTCATCTGTACTCCCCCAAAATACCACTTCTATTAATTACTGTTCCATTTTGAACACTATGGTGATAGTTTTGTTATCAAGAGTTCTTAGGAAGAGGCTGATTTTTTTTTTTCAGTGTTCCAAAAAATATTCACACACATGGGAATTCTACAATGCCCTCTTCTCCCTCCTTCCATGACTTTGTCTTTTCAATGCATGAGCTAAGATGAAGTTCTGAAATCTGTTATCAACTTTCCTGGCAGGGAAGAAAAGTCTTTTCTAAGTGGGTAGGTTTGCCTTTTTAGAACAAACACATTCTTCCCTGCGTGATTCTTCTACATGCCTGGCTCTCTGTCAACCTTCAGTCTGAAGGACAATTTCCACAGAGGATGGCTGCCAAATTTAAATTAGGCAAAATTTCACAAGATTTTAGATTAGGCACCAAATTGTTATGGCCATGGAACAAACAGGAAATGTACTTGCATCTGGTATTGAGCAGGGTG